TCTGAGAATCCTGCAGCGAAGAAATTATTACACTTTTTAACTCAGCAGTTTGCACCCTCATTTCACCACAGACCTCTCCTTCACACTGACTGGATAACATGGGCTGACTGTATCTGGGGTGAATTGTAGCTGAAGGGTCTTGAGATGCCACTGTGCAGCCAGAGGGAGTGACAGGGGCCTTAGCAGGCCCTAAGCACGACCTGGACCCTGCACTGACATCCTGGCTCCAAGCTTTGCACACTGCTTGACCTCCTTGAGCCCCAGTTTCCCCAGCTGTGAAATGGGCAGAAATCTCTTGCCTGGTGAAGCTGCAACGAGCCAGCTCACTGGGCAGACAGCCTGCAAAGCGACCCACCAATGTCAGGTGTTGAGACGCGCTCGCTCTGCCTCTAACTAGCCAAGCGTCTTTGGCAAGCCCTGGCCCTCAGCTTTGGCCCCAGACTGTCCTGGTCGGAAGAAAAGGGCAGCCTGACCCGTGGTTCCCGACCAGGGAAAACCTCCCCTCAGAATCACTTGGAAGAGCCTTTCACATTTCTAAAAATTTCTTGAATCGGTGACACACTCATCCAGCTCAAAAATTCTAAAAAATATATAAAGATCTATAGTGAATAGTCTCACTTCCATCTCTATTCCCGTCTATCCCAGTCACCCCCACGTCGGCCCCAACACCCCAGGTAATGACCACGTTTATTTGTTTCTTGTATATTCTTCAAGAAGCTCTTTATGCACAAACACACACACACCTCACACACCCCCCACACACACACACCTCACACACACCCCACACACACCACACCCACCACACACACCCCACACACACAACACACAACACCCTACACACACCCCACACACCCCACACACCCCACACACACCACACACACACACCACACACACACCACACCCCACACACACAAACACACACACACCACACCACACACCACACACACACCACACATACACCACACCAACACCCCACACACACCCCACACACCCCCCACACACCACACACACCCCCCACACACATGCCACACACACCCCACACACACCACACATACACCCTACACACACCCCACACACCACACCACACCACACACCCCCCACACACATGCCACACACACCCCAACCACACATCACACACACACCACACCCCCCACACACATGCCACACACACCCCACCACACCACAACACCACACACACACATGCCACACACCACCACACCACACCAACACCACACACACCACACACACCCCACACACATACCCACACACCACCACAACACACACACCACACCACCCCACCACATACCACACACACACAACCACACCCACACACACCACACACACTCCACACACACACCACACATACAACTACACACACACCCCACACACACCACACATACACACAACCAAAACCACACCACACCACATACACACCCACACACACGCCACACACACGGCCACACACACACCACACCTCACACAACACACCCCACACACACCATGCATACATACAACCACACACACACACCCCACACACACGCCACACACACACACCCCACACACACCAACACCACCACACACATACACCACAACCACACCAACACCACACACACACCCCACACATACCCCACATTACACACAACCACACACACATGCCACACACACACACCCCCACACCACTCCACACACACCCCAATACACACAACCACACCACACCACAATTACACCCCACATACATACAACCCACACCACATTACACTTCCACCACACACCACACATACACACAACCACATCACACCACACACACCACCACACACCCCCACACACACAACCACACACACAACCACACACCACACACTACACCACACCACACATGCACACAACCATACCACACACATTATACATACCACGCACACCCCCACATTACAACCATACACACACCACTACACCACCCCACCATACACACAACCACACACACACCACACACACACCACACATACACCACAACCCACACAAACACCACACACACACCACCACAAACACCACACACGCACCCAACATACACACAACCATACCACACACACCACACACACCCCACATAAATATAACCACACTACACACCACACACACACACACATCAATACACTATACCACACCACACGCACACACCCACACACACCGCACACCACATACACCACACACCCCCACACACATACCACACACACCACACCCCACACCACACACACCCACACACACCCCACACACACACTACACACACCACACACACCACACACACACAACATGCACTACACACAACACACACACCCACACACACATCACACATACCCCACACCACACACCCACACACCACACACCACACACCCACACACACCACACACACCATCACCACACCATACCAACCACACACACCCACCACACCACACCACACAGACAACACACCACCCACACACACCCACACACACACACAACCACACAGCCACACACACCACACACAAACACACCACACACACCACACACACACACACACACAACACCACACCACACACATACCACCACACACCCCACACACCACACACACACACACCACTGCACACACATGTATATTTTTCCCCTCATGGAGTTCGATTAAAATCACACAAGCCACATGTCTGCCCCATGACCCAGCAATTCCACTCCTAGGTATTTACCCAAAGAGAAAATGGAAACGCCCACACAAAGACCCGTACGTGATGTTCACAGCAACTTGTTGTAGTAGGCAAAACCCGGAAACAAATCAAATGGTGAAGGAAAACAAATGTGGCATGTGCATGTAGTGAACTGTTATTCGGCAATAAAAAGGAAGAACTACTCATGCGCCCAACGACATAGCTAAATCTCAAATACGTGCTAAGCAAAAATAGCCAAACCAAACAAAATGAAACATCTGCTGTATGAGTCCATGTCTATGACATTGTAGCGCAGGCAAAACTCATCTTTTGTGACAGAAAGCAGATCAGTGTTGCCTGAGGCTAGATTCAGGAAATTAACTATAAAGGGGCCTTAGGGAACTTTCTAGATGATGGAAATGTTCCATATCTAGATTATGGTGGTGGTTATATGCATGTATACATTGTCAAATTCCATTGAACAGTACCCCTTAAAATAAGTGCATTTCACTGTATAAATTTACCTCAATAAAATTAATTTTTTTTAGATGGAATCTTGCTCTGTCACCCCAGGTTGGAGTGCAGTGGCACGATCTTGGCTCACTGCAACCTCTGCCTCCCTGGTTCAAGCGATTCTCCTGCCTCAGCCTCCCGAGTAGCTGGGATTACAGGCGCCTGCCACAACACCCAGCTAATTTTTGGTATTTTTTCTTTTTTTAGTAGAGAACACTGTTTCACCATGTTGGCCAGGCTGGTCTCGAACTCCTGACCTCAGGTGGTCTGCCTGCCTCAGCCTCCCAAAGTGCTGGGATTACAGGCATGAGCCACCACACCTGGCCTAAAATTAATTTCTAAAGATCGTTTAAAAAGCAGACACCAGCCCCAATCTCAGACCCCTTGAGACAGAATTTCTAGGACAGGGGCCATCCTGCTGGACAGGGGTGCCAAGAACACCTTGCCCATTTATCTGAGCTCCCTTCTGGCTCTGAAATCTGGAGCCCCACCCTCCTGGGTCAGGGCCCTCTGGGAAGCCCCTGCAGTGCCCCAGAAGGGATGAAGCTCACAGGGGGTGAGGCAGGCAGCCCACGGGTCAGGAGGGAGCTTGAACTGGGCGTGGGGCCTGGTAGGGAGAGGGTAGTGAGGGGTTCCAGTGGGGAACCCCTCCCAGCCTGACCCCCACCACACTTTTTCTGACCCCCAGATTTCCAGACAAGGCTCACCCGTTCCAACTCGAGGTGCCAGGGCCAGCTGGAGGTCTACATCAAGTACGGATGGCACATGGTTTGCAGCCAGAGCTGGGGCCGGAGCTCCAACAGTGGAGGACCCCAATCAAGCGTCAAAAGTCTGCCAGCGACTGAACTGTGGGGTGCCCTTAAGCCTTGGTCCCTTCCTTATCACCGACAGACATCAGAGCCAAATCACCTGCTACGGGACGCCTGGGCTCCTTCTCCAACTGCAGCCACAGCGGAAGAGATGTGTGTCGCCCTCTGGGCCTGACCTGCTTAGGTGGGTAACTACCAGCCACATGGGCACCCTGGGCCTGGGCGCCAGCCCCAAGGAGACCGCCCAAGGCCTGTGATCTAGGGTCTGAGCAGGCTGTGGAAGGGGTCGGGGGACCCCAGTTTATAACCACTCCCCAAGACACATACCCAGGAGGGAGACTGGAAGGGGCCAGCACCCATCTGTAGGATGGCAATGGAGGACCTAGTTCTGCCCATCACTGACTTCATCGGCGCCTCTGAACGTCTATTCTTCCATCTGGAAGTGGGGTGGTACTTCCCGCCTCTCAGGAGGCTTACAGACAACGTGTGGGTCAAGCGGACCTGGTGTACCAAGCGGCGTTCATGCCAGGATCTCCTAGTCCTCTCAAGGTTGCCAGCTGCCCCGGCCCTCCCCACACCACCCATTCCTCCCTCACCAGACTGTCTCATTGCAGAGCCCCAGACGACAACACCTCCACCCACAAGGCCCCCGCCCACCACAACTCCAGAGCCCACAGGTAAGAGGATTCTGAACCCCCCGCAGGGAGTCAGAGCTAGCAAATAAAAACCCAGGACGCCCAGTTACATTTGAATTTCCGATAAAGTGGAAATGTTTAGTATGGTTGTTCTACGTAATATTTGGGACCCCACCACCTCCCAAGGCCAAGTGTTGGTCAGCAGCTGTCCACAAGTTGGGGCCAAACAGCAAGGAGTGCCCAGGAGCCCTCGGCGCTCAGCTGTCTCCCCCTCCCGCTCTCTCTTCTCCCAGCTCCTCCCAGGCTGCAGCTGGTGGCACAGGCTGCAGGCGGCACTGTGCCGGCGTGGTGGAGTTCTACAGCGGCAGCCTGGGGGGTACCATCAGCTATGAGGCCCAGGACAAGGCCCAGGACAAGACCCAGGTCCTGGAGAACTTTCTCTGCAGCAGCCTCCAGTGTGGCTCCTTCTTGAAGCATCTGCCAGAGACCGAGGCAGCCACAGCCCAAGACCCAGGGGAGCTGCGGGAACACCAGCCCTTGCCAATCCAATGGACGATCCGGAACTCGAGCTGTACCTCCCTGGAGCATTGCTTCCGGAAAATCAAGCCCCGCAACAGTGGCCAAGTTCTTGCCCTCCTCTGCTCAGGTAAGTGAGACCTGGCCAAGCCCCATGACACCTTCTGCTGCATCCCAGAAGGTCAGGGAACATATGTGCAGCACGGGGCACTATGGAGAATACAAGGGAAGTGGAGGCCTGGTCTTGGCCTCTAAGAGGCAAGAAGGGTTGGGGTGGGGAGGATGCATCCACACTCAACGCCTGGGTAATCTCTGCAAAGCTACACACCCCAAGCCCAAAGGAACCACTGGCTCAGCTGCCACATGGGGAAGGGGAGTCGGCAGGACTTCCAGGAGGAGGCAAGGTCTTTCGTGGGTTCAGGGAGAAAAAAATGTCTAGGTAGGAATTGTGGCGTGTGCCAAAGATGGGGCACTTGGAGGGGTGGGCCTTGCAGGAGGGGCGTTTGTAAATCCCAAGGGTTGACGTTGCAGCAATGGTGAGAGGTGGGAGGGCCCTGAGGCCCGGAGGTAAGAGCACAGCAGGCAAAGAGAGAAACAGAGAGCCCCCAGGAGGGCTCTGCAGAGGTCCTGCGCCGCGCGCTGACAAAATAAAGAGAATGATGCCGCTGTGTGGTTGAGGGAGGAGGCAGGTGAGACTGAGTCTGTGAGACCCCAGTGGGCCAAACCAGGATCAATGAAGAAAACTAAAGGGAAGAAACCGCAGCTGAATGAAGGGAGAATCCTCGCAGCACGCCTCCCTCCGGAAGTAGCGGGTTCCTATGGTCAGAAGTGTTCTCAGTAAAGTCTGGATTGTACTTACCGAGAGCTTACTTCGTGCAGGGACCGTTCCTGGGCCTTCTAAATTTTCCACATGGCTTAGGAGGCGGGTGTTATTATTATCACCCCTCTTTACAGTGAGGAGGCTGAGGTTTAGAGAGGCTAAACCTCTTGCCCAGTACTATGGAGCACTTGCTGGGATTTCTGTTCAAGCAGGGTCACTCTAGAGCCTGTTGTCTCAGCCTTGGTGACTCCATGTGGTCCTGGACCAGCAGCAGCCGGTTAGAGATGCAGGTGCTCAGGCCCCAGCCCAGACCTTCCCGAATCAGAATCCACTTTTCAGCAAGGTCCTCAGTGATTTACGTGCACAAATCTAGGAATCACTGCTCGGGGCCACCTGGCTGTCCTGCCAGCACGCTGAGTACCTGGTGTAAATTAGTAAAATGCTGCCCCTCCCCCAGCACAAGCAGTTCCCAGGGGTCTCTTGGCCTGATGAGGGAAGCAGGGGCTGGCTCACACTCCCACCCGCCCCTCAGCTACTATCCTTCCTGCAGGCTACAACCTGTAAAACCATACCCAGGGTTCTTACCTTTGAAGCTTCTTCTAAATAGATTTACTAGGGCTTTGAAGGTGGATGTTGCTATGGAAACTGGCCAAAGCTGGTGAGATCCCAACTCTCTCTAAACTGAGCGTGTGTGGGCCTCAGCTACGGACTCCCAGGCCCCACCTCGGCAGGCAGAAAATAAATGCGTGCCTCTGTTGAGCCAGGCCCCCTTGCTGAAAGCCTGGCCCTCAGCGTTCAGTGCCTGGGCAGCAGGATCTGTCCCAACTGTGAACTGCCAGGACTCAGGGCAGTAGGTCTTTCCAACCCCTGGGCCTCAGTTTACCTCTTCTGAAAAGTCCTTCTTCTTCCCAGAGTGCAGCGGGAGAATGACAGGATGTTTCCAAGTGGGAAGCGGACCCAGGTGGAGCCTATTTCCCACGCTCTTCTCTTACCTCCACCTGGCATGGGGCCGACTCCCTGCTGGTGGCTGCCAACAGGTTCCTTGCAGAAAGCGCCTACGCTGCTGTGTCTCAGGATGGTGCTGGCAGCTGCCCAGAGGCACCAGAGACAGCGCTGGGTCAGGGGAAGAGCCACAGAGGGTACCAGAAGAAGGGAAGGGCAGAAAGGAAGGCTGCCTCTTCTGGTGGTCCCACACAGTGCCTTCCCCTAGCCAGGGCCCCGATTTGCCAGTGGCATGGGGCCCCAGGAAGCAGCACAAAGGCTCAGGGCCACATTTGCACCCTCCTTTCCCATTGCTTCCCCTCTCAGGTTTCCAGCCCAAGGTGCAGAGCCGTCTGGTAGGGGGCAGCAGCATCTGTGAAGGCACCGTGGAGGTGCGCCAGGGGGCTCAGTGGGCAGCCCTGTGCGACAGCTCTTCAGCCAAGAGCTCTCTGCGATGGGAGGAGGTATGCCGGGAGCAGCAGTGTGGCAGCTTCAACTCCTATCAAGCGCTGGACGCTGGTGACCCAACATCCCGGGGGCTCTCCTGTCCCCATCAGAAGCTGTCACAGTGCCACGAACTTACAGAGAGAAAGTCCTACTGCAAGAAGGTGTTTGTCACATGTGAGTTGGCCACAGCCCACAGTGGGTGGAAGCAGTTACAACTTTACCTCTAGGACCCGGTCAGGGTGCATGTCTCTAAAGGGCAGCCCTGGGGAGCTAGACAGAGAGTCCCAGAGACCCAGAAAGGATGGAGAGAGGGAAATTGGAGGGCCAGGGAGTAAGAGTACTCAGACAGCAATGGGCATGAACAATAACAGGAGACAGGGCAAGCAACAGGCAGAGATCACTGTCAGGCAGCTGATGAGTCACAGAACTTCTCTTTCTACCTTCTACTTTTGCAAGGTGGAAGCCAGAAAATCAAATGGTAGATAGCACATATTTGCTACATGAATGGTAACTAAATGGCAAGTAAAAGAGAGAAATGGATGGATGGATGGATGGATGGATGGATGGATGGATGGATGGATGGATGGATTGGTGGGTGGGTGGGTGGATGGATGGATCAGTGGGTGGGTGGATGGATGGATGGATGGATGGATGGATGGATAGATGGATGGATGGATGGATGAACAGAAGGATGAATGGACATATGGATGGATGGATGGATGGATGGATGGATGGATGGATGGATGAACAGAAGGATGAATGGACAGATGGATGGATGGATCAAGAATAGAGGCCCGGCCGGGCGCAGTGGCTCACGCCCGTAATCCCAGCACTTTAGGAGGCTGAGGTGGGTGGATCACGAGGTCAGGAGATCAAGACCATCCTGGCTAACACGGTGAAACCTCATCTCTACTAAAAATACAAAAAATTAGCCGGGCGTGGTGGCGGGTGCCTGTAGTCCCAGCTACTCAGGAGGCTGAGCCAGGAGAATGGCGTAAACCCGGGAGGCGGAGCTTGCAGTGAGCCGAGATTGTGCCACTGTGCTCCAGCCTGGGCAACAGAGCGAGGCTCCGTCTCAAAAAAAAAAAAAGAATAGAGGCCCAGCTGGCTATTGGTATAAGATCATATGTTGCTTTATGATGGTATATGATGGCAAGGTGATCACTAACAACTGGCAAACGGTAGAAAATTAAATAACTTATAACAAGTGCGGCAAATGATAGCTAGATGATCAACTGTTAGATGATAAATGGTGGGTGGGTGAGAGGGTAGCAGGGAGTTCTAGAGATGGATGGAGGGACAGTCAAATAGATCATTGCCTTCCGTGCATGCTGATGATTTCTCGGATGAGCAAGGGTGACTGGTGGAAGCCAGGCAGCCAGCAGCTTCCCTCCCACAGTTTTTCTCCCCCAGGGCTGGGACTGACCTAACTCTTCCTGCTTCCCCAGGCCAGGATCCAAATCCAGCAGGCCCAGCCGCAGGCACCGTGGCAAGCATCATCCTGGCCCTGGTGCTCCTGGGGGTGCTGCTGGTCGTGTGCGGCCCCCTTGCCTACAAGAAGCTGGTGAAGAAATGTAGGTGTTGTGGCCCTGAGTGGCTCCATTTCCATGTGCAGAGACTGGAGGGGCTGCCCTGGAGTCTCCCAGAGGAGGAGTTGTGCCTCCAGAGAGCTGGGCATGCAGGGCACCTCTGCTTCGCCCCCCAGCCTTCCCTTCTCCTGCCCATTAGCCATTTTCTGCCCCAAGTAACAGAAACAGAAAGTAAACAAAATTGCAATTGCCCATATGTCCATCTCTGGCGCCCAGCTGAGACCCACTCCAGGCCAGGGGTGCGGCCATTCCCGAGGCTGTGGCAGGCCCAGAGGGTGTTCAGCACGGCCTCTGATGGCAAGAGACACACATCCCAGGCCTAGCCCCACCACTTACCACTGCCCGGGATGCTGATTGGGACACTTCCTCTCTCCGACCCTCAGTTTCTTCATCTACCAAATGGGCGATCGCACACCTTGTGAACGCGGCGGGTTGTTCTCCTTGCCTCGCAGAACTTAAGAGGAAATTATTCAGACAAAGAAATGAGAGGGGAGAGATTGGGAACGGAAGGCCCAGCAGGGGAGTATTGGGTCCTAGTGCCTGCCCAGGTCTAGTTCTAAACGCCTGTGGTCTTTTCTCCTGGGGAGCCAGCCACCTCTACAGCATCCTTGGCCTCTCTTTTGGCATATGATGGCTCCAATTCCCTTCCCCAGCAAGTTAGGAAACCGAGGTTGACGAGAGACTCCGGGGGGCAGAGCCCAGCAGCCCTGCCCTCAGCTGCACCTGCTGCCACCATCTCCCTCCCAGGCCCTGCCCTGCCCCCACCCCTGCCTGCCCCCACCCCCACCTTCCCCCACCACTCTGATGCGCTTTCCTGTCTCTTGCCCAGTCCGCCAGAAGAAGCAGCGCCAGTGGATTGGCCCAACGGGAATGAACCAGAACAGTAAGTGTCCCCGCAGGCAGGAGCCTCCCTCAGGTGCTGGAGCCTCCCTCAGGTGCTGGACAGAGACCATGGAGGCAGAGTTGAGGCTCTCTGCTGACCACAGATGGAGCCTGTGGCTGCTTGAAGCCTCTGATCTCCACGGTGCTTGTCTGACATGTGACTGTGGCCAACAGACGTCCCCACACCAGGGAGGGTGGAGGCTTCTTGATGGGCAGATGGCTAAGCGGTTTCTACCACTGAAGCCTCAGAGTGTAGAAACATCTCATGGTATCCTTTCTGTGCCTCGCCTCATCTCTAGGGTCCCCAACAGCGTTCGCCTCCTCCAGCAGTATTCCCCAACGCAGTGGCCAGTGGATGTTAACAGGCGGCACTCACAAAAGAGGCCTCCCTGATCAACAGATCTGGAAAACCATGAGTTAGGCACAGCAAAGCATGGCTATGTCAGGACTTATCAGAACCTTAATGGGCATTTTTGTATTGCCCATCTCCAAAGCAAGGATCCATTAAGAAGGGCTGTCCAGGTTATTTTTATCATGGAACAACTTACAGGGCCAGTATGAGGACATTTTGGTGCAGCCAGCCCAACACCATCCCTGGTCTTCATCCTCCCTCCTTCCAGCCACAGCCAGAGACACCCTAATGGATGGAGACATGGCGCTCTTCCTGCCTCCCATTCCACCTTCTTCCTCCTTCCTAAGTCCAGGGCCAAATCCTTCAAGAAGGCTCTGTGTTGCCCAGGCTTGCTTAATAACACACAGACCCTCAGTTCCTGGAGGGCAGGGAGCATATCTGTCCTGTCATCTGTGCTCCAGTCTCCTGCTTGGCAAATGCTTGATGACTGACTCATGGAACGCCCCACCCCGCCAGTCAGATTGCTGGGTTCCCAAACCTGCTCTCAAAGTCTGCTGCTGATCCTGCTAGCACGAACCTCCCGGGAAGAGAGGAGAGGGGGATGCATTGAAGGGGCTGTGAGTGCCTTTGCCCTCTCCCTGCTAACATCATGGGAATAGGAGGTTAACGTTCTGGGCACCTGCTGGGGAAGGAGGCAGAGGACACAGCCACAAGTCTAATGACACTGTCTCCTACCATCTGCCCAGTGTCCTTCCATCGCAACCACACAGCAACCGTCCGGTCCCATGTTGAGAACCCCACAGCCTCCCATGTGGATAACGAATACAGCCAACCTCCCAGGAACTCCCGCCTGTCAGCTTATCCAGGTAAGCTCCAGTGGGTGCTCCCAGGCACGCAGGCAGGGCTGGAGCAGGCCGCCAAGGCAGGTCACGTGATGCCCTTGAAGGTGGGGTGATGGCCCAAAGAGAGAAGGGAGACCCCAGGGCGCAGGGGGATCAAACGTCGCAGGATGCAGCAGGGCTGCGGAAGGATGTAGCCTTTACAGGCCCCAGCTGTCCTGTTTGAGACCATGAACTACTCATTTGGAGAGAAGAATGCACTCAGAAAGCCATCAACCCCAGCCTTGCTGTGACCTAATGGGCCTGTTTCGCTGCAGGGCCTTGAGGGGCCTGGATGGTAAATGAGGCCCCTTGGATTCCCCCGGGCCAGAAGAGAGCCATTAAGTGGGCTGCAGGAGCGCTGCACTAAAGGCTTCCTGACTGGCCGTTACCAATGAAGCCCCAGGGAGCCTGGAGTTCAGCATCATTAGTGAACGTTTGGCTGATTTGATCAAAACAGATACCGGGCTGTCACCAGGCTCATAAAGCCGCTGTGATCTTCCAACCCGCTGTGGGCAGCGCTCTAGGACCCAAGGGGCTCTGTGGAGTCACAAACCTCTGCAACAGCGTCCTTTCTTTCCCCAGCTCTGGAAGGGGCCCTGCATCGCTCGTCCACACAGCCTGACAACTCCTCCGACAGTGACTACGACCTGCACGGGGCTCAGCGGCTGTAACGGTGAGCCTGTCTCCAGCCTGACCCCAGCACCCCGGGGTCCCCCACAGTCCTGGGGGTGATCAGCAGCCACTCAGTGCCTCCCCTTGGTCCTGCCCTGCCCATACATGAATAGGGGACCCCCAGCATCTTTTTTTTTTTTTTTTTTTGAGACGGGGTCTTGCTCCGTCGCCCAGACTGGAGTGCAGTGGCCGGATCTTGGCTCACTGCAAGCTCCGCCTCCCGGGTTCACGCCATTCTCCTGCCTCAGCCTCCCGAGTAGCTGGGACTACAGGCGCCCGCCACCTCACCCGGCTAGTTTTTTGTATTTTTTAGTAGAGATGGGGTTTCACCGGGTTAGCCAGGATGGTCTCGATCTCCTGACCTCGTGATCCGCCCGTCTCGGCCTCCCAAAGTGCTGGGATTACAGGCTTGAGCCACCGCGCCCGGCCCGGGGACCCCCAGCATCTTGATTGTTGTAAAGGGAAAGACAAATGTCAGCTGTTTAGGTTATACGAGCTGGTCTGACAACTAGAGCAGAGGAATCATGGACCTTAACAATCAACTCTTAACTCCATGGCGGAAGGCCACACAGGCAGAGTCCCTACGAGCTCCGTGATGGAACCACACCCTCCAGAGCTGCCAACCTGCCAGCGGGGAGAAGGAGCCCCCGGCTCAGGACAGCAGCCATCCCCAAGATGGAGCCCAAAGCATGGGTCCTGTCCCCCACCTCCCTGCATCACCTCTGCAGGTCTTCCTCTAACAGTTTCCTTCTCACCCCACAGAACTGGGATCCAGGAGCAAAATGCCAAGAGCCAGACCTGCTTGTCCTGAGAAAACTGTCCGCTCTTCACGTGAAATGATGTCCCTATTTCTACCCCGGCCAGAACATGGACAGAGGCCAGGAGCCTTCCAGACAGGCGCTGCTGCTCCGAGTGGCAGGCCAGCTTACACTGCTGCATGACAGCTCGGCCGCCCCTCCACGCGTGGAAGCTGTGGCGGGCAGAGCCCCAAAACAAGCAGCCTTCCAACTAGAGACTCAGGGGTGTCCGAAGGGGGCCCCCTTTCCCTGCCCGCTGGGGAGCGGCACCTGAGTGAAATCGGCTTTCTTCTCAGACTCTGTCCCTGGTAAGCAGTGACAAGGAAGCTCACAGCTGGGCGAGTGCATTTTGAATAGTTCTTTGTAAGTAGTGCTTTCCTCCTTCCTGACAACTCAAGCGCTCCGGCCTCTTCTGGTGCAGCCCTCCACCCCTGCGGATCCCTTAGGGGAGGCACAAGAAGAGGACTCCCGGGGACCTCTGCAGCCATGGTGGTCAGAGGCTGCTCACCTGAGGCACGAAGACAGCTCAGCGCGTTCACCGCAGCTGCCAGCCAGGGTGACCGCTGACCACAGCCTCACCCCACTCCCTCTGTCTTGCGACTCCCCTCCCCAACCCCCTCATCCAAAGACACCTTCCTCTCCAGAGAGCAGGGACCACCAGCTGTCAAGCCCACAGGGCACGAGTGCCAGCCAGGGCCCTGCGCAAAGGGATGCCTAGTAAACCTTAACCAACTTGGTTTTTTGCTTCACCCAGCAATTAAACGTCCCAAGCTGAGGTAGCATCAGCCCATCACAGTTCATCTTCTAACCCAAGAGTCAGAGATGAGGCTGGTCATGTTCCCTTTGGTTTAAATAACTCCCTTGACTAAAACAGACTCCTCTAGTACTTGGAGATCTTGGACATATACCTAATCCAGTGGGACCTTGGCTTCCTTAACTACAAGTGAGAAGGGGAGGTCCACCCAGGAGCCTCGGGTCTGATCAAGGGAGAGGCCATGCAGAGCTCACTGTGGCGGCTCCCTAAGAAGGTGAAGCAATGTGGGAACACATCTTGAGGACGGGGCCTTTCTCCACACCATTTGATGCTGTTATCTTCTGAGAGCATAGGCATCAATGGTCCAAACCACAGAATCTAAGTCTGGAAGAGCAAAAGGAAGTTACTAGGACATGAGGTGGGGTAATCCCAGAATCTGCTCAGCTTTCCACCCACCACCAACACCTTCCAACCAGGCCTTGCCTTCTGAGAGCCCCTGTGGCCAAGCCCAGGTCATAAATCTTCCCCTGACCATGCTGGGAATCCAGAAACAGGAACCCCATTTCTCTTCCCACATCTGGTGGAGGTGAGGGGGCTCCTCAAAAGGGAACTGAGAGGCTGCTCTTAGGGAGGGCAAAGGATCTGGGGCAGGCAGTGTCTCCCATCAGTGCCTTTTTTAATAAAAGCTCTTTCATCTATAGTTTGGCCACCATACAGTGGCCTCAAAGCAACCATGGCCTACTTAAAAACCAAACCAAAAATAAAGAGTTTAGTTGAGGAGAAATGAGTCTTTAGAAAACTGTTTTTCAAGGGGTGGCTGACTTAGGTGATGCATTTCAAAAAGATGTTTGGTGATGCGATGGAATAGAAGCATTTTAGTCTTCAAGGTGTCGCTGTTGAGTTCCTGCCTTGGCTAGAAAAGGCAACCCACTGCTCCCCCAGCCAGTGCTCAGGAGGCTGGTGTCCATTTCCCCCGGCTGTGGAGGACGCACTTCCGTGACCTGGACAACCTTCCCATTCCTGCATCCCAGCAACCTGCTAGAACAGGACCACCCCTTCCACTCACCTGTGTGTCTCTCAAACACTGCCCATTCCCCAAAGTAAATTATGTTCCTGGCTAAATCATGGGACCTGGCCAATAAGTGTTTGGGTGTGCAACCCCTGATTCTAGCACATTAGGTCAAGGATACCAAGGACCAAGCAACAAGTCTAGCTTTCACATTGTCACGTGGCCGGACATGGTGGCTCATGCCTGTAATCCCAGCACTTTGGGAGGCCAATGTAGAAGGATTGCTTGAAGCCAGGAGTTCCAGACCAGCCTAGGCAACAAAGTGAGACCCCATCTCTCCCAAAAAGAAAGTTTTCAATTCGCTGAGCATGGTGGCACATGCCTGTAATCCGTTATTCAGGAGGCTGGTGCAGGAGGATCACCTGAGGCCAGGAGTGAGGCTGCAGTGAGCCATGATCTTGCCATTGCACTCCAGCCTGGGCAACAGGCTTTTTTTTTTTTTTTTTTAATATACAAATAATTAGCCAGGCATGGTGGCACACACCTGTAATCCCAGCTACTCAAGAGGCTGAGGCAGGAGAATCGCTTGAACCTGGGAGGTGGAGGTTGCAGTAAGCCAAGATGGCGCCAGTATACTCCAGCCTGGGAGCCACATGAGTGAGATTCTCTCAAAAAGAAAAAAGAAAAAGTTATCATGCACCCAGGGACCTGGGAGTACGGAGAAGAAGAGAGCTGTAAGGACGTGACATTCATATGGCCTCACCACATCCAGCAGAGCAGTGTCCTAAGCTAGGAATCTAGAGACTCTAAATTTGATGCTTAGGGTCTGTCCCCCTGCAGCGGGAGGCCCACTGTAGTCTGGTGAAAGGCAGCCAGTGATCTCCCAGGGATGCAGGGAGGGAGGCGCGAGGAGCGCGTGTGTGTGCTGCCCTCTGAGGTGAGGTGGCCAGGGAGAGCGGGAGGCAAAAAGCACAGGGCGGGACACGTGGGCTGACCAGCTGAGGCAGCTCATGACGGTCCTTTCTTAGAAAGTCGGCCCCTCCGTGCCCCCTGCCACCACTCTGGCACCAACCCAAGGCAAGTGACCTATGTGCCTAGAGGGAGATTTGTAGCCTCTTCCTACAAAGCCAAATAGCTTCCAGCTGTCCCTGATGTCCTGTGTCCTCAGCCTTGGACACCTGCAAGGCCAGGCCAGAGTTCAGCTGGGGGTGAAGGGCAGTAAACATTTGACCAGAGCCCAGCGACTCTCAGCTCTGTCCTTGGGAGGCGCTTCTGGCACCACCAAGGCAGTGGGGAGGAGCCCCTGTGCCTCTGAAATCCAACTGACCCAGTCCAAGTCCCACCTCCTCCCAAGGCTGTGCAACATGCTCACCGAACCACCTGCCCTGTGGTTTCCTCCCATTTAAACTGGGGATGAAAGGGCTGTTGCGAAGACTCCAGGAGATAATGCGCCTGAAAGCACAGCACAGCCTGCAGCCCTGCTGAGTATTTAACACTAACGATTCAGGGCATCTCTAGGCATCCTCTGCAGGCAGCCATCCGTCACCTTGCAGGGAAGGAGAGGCAGAGACCTGACTTGAGGGACTGTTAGAAGTCTGGTCTAAGGATTCCCTCAAAGCTGCCCGTCCTGCTGAGCTGAAGACGCCCTCCCCAGCCGCGGGATAGGCAGCTCAGCAGCAGACCTCAGGGCGACACTGGGGACGGAGGCACGCTGGGCCAAGGCCTAGAAGACCGTTGGTGCCGCAGCCAGTTTAGCGGCCCGCTGTCCCTCTGAGCACATCCTGTAAGCCCAGGTTAGAATTAGATGGGTCTCAGACAGGCTAACATGCCGACGTCCCGCCAGTCCGGCAGGTGGCAGGATCACGGCACCTCCCGAGCGGGCTGAGGACCAGACGCCCCCTCGTGGCATCCTGTGGCCTTGCATGCCATTGCTCTCGGTCCAGGACAAGGCAAAACGCAGGCTCCAACAGGAAAACCGCTAAGAAGGAAAGTGGAAGAGCGGGAGAGGGAAGGTAAATGCTCCCAGGGCCAGCCCTGGGGTGAGCAGGCAGGGGAGGGCTGACATCCAGACGGATGGGGCTTTGGGATGTGAATCACAGAGGCCCCTCCACAGAGCACGATCTGAAGGCCGCAGAAGAAATCAAGGCATCCACATGCAGCCACGTCTTCACTCAAAGCCACCAACACCACACCACATGTGACTCATCAAAGTTTATTATGGCAATTAATTACACAAACATACAGGCGGTCGGTCATCCAGCTCAGAAGCACTCAAACCAGTAGAGTCCATTAGTGATTTCTCTTTATAAATAACTTAGGAGAAGCAAGCACATTTGGTAAAGAACCGGCACCGCGGACCGAGCGTCACGCAGATGGCACGTAGGCCGGGGAGGGGCAGGCACCAGAAGGTCAAGGTCTCTCCTTGGCCCCAGCAGCCCCGGGCCCACCAGACGCTGGGTCCTCAGGTAGTGGACATTTCAAGGCACGTACAACTTCCTAAGCAATAGCAGCTCCAGGCTCTTCCCTGAGACCTGGTTTACCTCTGGAACAACCAAGTTAACACTCATCACACCCCTTTGTCTATTGTCTTCATTCTGATTACTGAACATGCCCCAATCCCCACAGTGCAGGGGGCTGCATATTACACAGAGCCATAATCCCCACCCTTTACATTCTGAAGACAGGGAGGTGCGAAAAAACTGCCCCTATGTAGTGATGGTGTTTTTTAAAAAGCACCATTTGGGAAGTTACGTTAGGGCCTCTTTTGATGCCTTAGGATGGACACTGGGGGTGGGAGGATTACATCAAAGGAGTGAGGGGCAGGGGAGGGAAAGGGAGGGGGCTGCTTGTGAATGAGATTCAAGGCACTAAAGGAGTGGATGGATGCGTGGGCCTCGGGCAAAGTCACCCTAAAGTGGGGGGTCCCAGAGGAGAGAAGGGTGGCTGGGGAGGTGACCTGGCCCTCCACTCCTAAACGAGCCCCAATGTGACCACAATCTCCAGGGCTAGAGCTGCTCCCTTCCCTCTGGCCAGAGGGCCCAAGGCAGCCCCCTGGGTTCTCCAAATAGTGCAAGCAAGGTCTGGGGACAGTCTTCACGACCCCCAGCCTTCTTGCTGCACTGGCGCTGCCGCCACTCAAACAGGACACAGGACAAGCTTGTCTGACATCAGGTACTGGAGTTAAATTATGGCTTTATAGGACTCAAACCTGTTGTTTTTCCCAACTCTGTTCTCTCCCTCCAATCCAACCCCTGCCACAGTGCGTGGGCAGGCTAGCCTTGAATGGACTGGACAGACACCAACAGCTGCATCCCTTGGCATGGGGCTCCACGTCAAATATGCCAAACCCCAGGGGAGCCGGAGGGGCCGGAGACCCGGGGCCTCCTCCTCGAGATAACTCTGCACTGGGTTCAGATGGCCCTGAGCGCAGCCGCAAGTAGATGCTCATAAATGTGCGCACACGCTCACTCACACAGACACCGGCGAGAGGTGCCGGACCCCAGCCTGGCTAGCACCACTACAGCCAGGCACTGAAAGTAGGGGCTTCTAGGAGGACTCCGGCCAGAGGGCCAGCAAGTGCCGTGACCAGTCACACTGCCCAGTGCCTTGTCCCTCCAAGGCCTCTGGGTGCCAACGCAAGTCCACAGGGAGCACCAACGCCACCTCCAGTTGACCCTCGAATCTCGGCGATGGCTGGGCCAAAGGTTGAGCGTGGGTGGGACTCGGGAGGGGCCGAGGGCCAGGAGTACGGCTAATACCCAGGCCAGGCAGGCCCCGGGGGCGGTGGAAACCCATAGGGAGGGGCGGGCCCGGGGGGATAAGGGGGCTGCGGGGGCAATGAGGGCTGGGGCTGGCCTGGGAAGCTGCGGAGCTGGGGCTGTATTGGGTAGGGAGGCTTTCCTCCTGTTGCAGGATATGGAGACTGTTGAGGATAACCAGGACTGGGGGCCCTGCCTCCCGCCAAGGGGTAACCAGGCCCAGAGGTGCCAGTCGGGGTCCCAGGATAGCCCGACCGGGGTGGCGTGCTCCTCTGTGGGGACCAGGAGTAACCCACGGCACCCCTGGGTCCAGGCTGGGCTGCCGGGTAAGTGGGGCCCAGAGGCCCGCTGTAGAAGGAGGGCTGGGACACCACCGGGAAAGGGGCCGGTGGCAGGGCTCCATGGGCAGTGGGGCCCACAGGCAGGCTGGGGGACGGGCTGTAGGGCAAAGGGTAGGGAGGCATGGCTGATGGTGGCTGCGGCTGCTCTTCAACCACAGGGGGCGTTGCCTGGGGGACTGGGCGCGCCGGGGGTGGCGGGCGGGGTGGGGGGGCATCGCCAGCCAGCTCCTGGGAAGCCCTGGGCTTCCTCACCACTTCCTGGAGTTTTCCACGCGAACCGGCGCAGGTGGGACAGCATCCTCATGGAGGAAAAATTCTCCAGGACGTTTCCAGGGGCACCTCGCCCTCCAGGAACTTCTCAGCCATGGCCTGGAAGACGTAAGGTCCAGTGACAACAGGGGCCGGCTGGGATCAAGGTCTCTTGTTTTTCCCCAGGGTCCAAATTCAGCTACAGCCCTCCCACCTCGCGCTGCCTCGGGCACCCCCTCCTCCTCCCTGGCCATATGCCCCTTCTCACAGCTGACAGATGGTACATGCACTGTCTCCCTCACTAGAACGTCAGTCCCTCGAGGGTGAGAACTGCCTCTGTCATGGTCACCTCTGTCCTGGCGCCCTGGCATCAGGCCAGGCCCACAGTGGCCACTGCATGTATGTACTGAACACCTGGCCGAGCACTAGCCCAGGGACTGGCAGGGCCTGGAAGCTTCTTCCACCCAAAGTGGACAGCACCAGTTTGCCCACAGAGGCTGAAGAGGTGGCCCGGACGGAAGCGGGAAGCAAGGAGAGCAGAGTGAGGGGCTGGCCTCAGCCCCTGGGGGCTGCCTGCTGTGCTGCCCTCTCATCCAGGGCTGCAAGCTGCCCTTGTCCACTATCACTCGTTTCTGCTTCAGCTAGGGGGACTGAGTTCCTGTTATTTGTACCCAAAAGGCCTCCCCAGGACTAAGATGTCCTTCACCTCTGCCATCTACGAAAGCTCCTTTGTCCCATGCTTTGCAGACATCTGCTCCTCCTTCCAAGGGCCCCTGCTGCAGGGACTGACACCCCGGCGAGGGAAGGGGGGTGTCGCCTCGCCCTCTCACCTCGGACTCTTCTTCAATCTTCATGCCTTCCACCTGCAGAAGGTCTAACAAGGTCCCTGGCTGCAGTGCTGAAGAAAATTTCTCTGGAAGGGAGGAGGGAGGGCAGAACGACTGGCATTTGAAAAGTGCTTCCTGATTCGGTGTTAAAGGCACTTAGCATGCCCTCTGTGTGCATCCAGGCCCAGCCACCACCCCAGGGTCCACCAAAGGGTCCTTTCGGGTGGGCTTAATGGGCACTTTTGGTCCAGTTCCTTAGACTACTTTCCTGAGCAGAGAAGGGCCCGACTGAACCCAGCCTCGACCTTGGCCAAGCCTCCCCTGCACCATCCTGGGAAGGGAAACGACTCGGGCTTCAGAGCCCGACCGACCCGGTTCTGCCTGCCAGCCAGGGGAGTCACCTAATCTGAGCGTGAAGCTGTCTCACCATCAGGACGACTGCCCTCCCACCTTCAAACGTGACAGGTCCTGGGACACAAAGAGCCCAGAGCAGCTCAGGAGCAGCTCAGCAAAGCACAGAAGCTGAGCTGCCAGGGGTAACAGCGGCAGCAAAGGATGCAGGCTGTCTGGATTCAAATCCCAACTCCACCTATTTCTAAGCTGGGTGACCGTAGCCAAGTTCTTGAATCTCTCTGAGCCTCATTTTTCTTACCTATAAAACGGAGTAACAACAGTCCCCACCCTTCTACGGCTGTTGTCAAAAACCGTACATAAAGCACTTAGCACAGGGCTGGGAACACGGTGGGCCTCAGTAGCTATGGGCCTTGCCCATCCTGGGGAGGGGACAGGGAATCCATCCTTCATGCTGTTCCAGCTGCTCAGCCCATCCAACCCTGAATGGGGACCCTGAGTTCACAGAGGAGCCACCCTACCCAGCTTTGCCTTCTGCTCCTGGCACCGCTCCACAAGCTTCCGGAGCTCCTGGTATTTATCTGAGAGGTTTGAGCGGCTGATCTCCAGGGGTCCCTGGAACTCCAAGTTCTGCTCCGCCAGGCTCCGGTTGGTGGCCAGTGCCATCTCCCGTTCCAGCTGCAGGTCCTGGACCTAAAAGGACAGGACAACAGAACCTAAGGAAAACGTCCGCCACCCTGAACCTCCTGGCAGCCTGGGTCAGGGCCTTCGGGGCACATCCTCACCTTGGGGTGGAGAGGCTCATCCGTGGGCGATACTCAGCCCTCAACTAGTCAGACAAAGCCAGGTTCAAACCCTGAACGAAGTACTCTGCACCTCACTTAATCTTTTAACCCACAGCCACAAGGTGGAGACGCATGGGAACCTGGAGCTAAAGGTGAAGAGCTTGCCCAAGGCCACGTGACTGATATCCACGATGGAGTGTGCAGAGCCCCAAGGAGGGGCTGGACCAATTTACATGAGAAAATCAGAGGCTTTCTGGGAAGGGACCAAAAGTCCAAATTACTTATCCCCAAGCTTCAGAGTGAAGAGACCTACCATGGTGGACTCAGGTGGCCCTGGCCAGATGCACAGGCAAGACACGCAATGAGGCCCCAAAGTTATTGTGAGGGGTGAGAGAGCCAGGGCCCTGGACCAGACCATGCCACTGACTTAGGAGACACCTGGACCTGCCTCCTATGCGGCACGTGTGTCCTGCAGAGAAGCTGCACAGATGAGCCAGGGGGGCCACCCTGGACATTCCCTGCTGCAAACACTTCCCCAAGCCAAGTGGCACACTACTCCTCTGCCAGCTCTTCGTCACTGCCAGCCAGTGAGGCAGAAGCCAAGGCACCCTTCCCAGCTGCTGTGATTTCATGCCCCATGAATCCACCAAAGAGTCCTCTCCTGAGAGGAGGGCTGAGGAGCCAGACCCGCACGCTGAGCCAGCGGTGACAGTACACTGACAGCAGCATGGGGCACCAGAAGACAGGCCTCGGCACCTGCCACAGGGTGCAGGGAACAGCTCAGCAAGACCGACTCTGAGTCAGGCCCTCACTGTGCAGCTTCTCCACCATGGTCAGCGTGTGACAGACCAAGCCGGACTGACTCATGCCCCACCAGACATAGGAAGCCCATGGGCATTCTGAAAGAGGAGGCTTCAGGGAAAGGCTGCCCCTCCTGCTGTCCCAGCTACAGGGGCCTAGGCCCCGCACTCTGGGGCAGGCCCATAGCCTCTTCTTTGTGCTCCAGATTGGAAAGAGGAATGCCACAGCTCCCTGCCCTTCCTGAGCCCTCCAGACGAAGCTGCCATGGTTCAGGGATTGTAGGGCCCAGGGGTCTATCCAGCCTAGAGCCCACGCTGCTGCCTTCTAGAGACATGGTCTCACTCTGTCGTCTGGAGTGCAGTGGCATGACCATAGGTCACTGCAGCCTCGAACTCCTGAGCTCAAGCAATCTTTCAGCCTCAGCCCTTCCAGTAGCTGGGACTACAGGCACGTACCACCACGCCTAAGTTCTTTCATTTTCTGTAGAGATGGGGTTTCCCTATGTTGCCCAGGCTGGCCTCAAGCAATCCTCCCATCTCATCATTCCAATAGCTGGGATTACAGGCAGTAACCACCATATGTGACTCTCAATCTAATTTTTATTAGCCATGGAAACTTTATTTACATGGCTGACCCAGAGTGAAAGGCCTAAAGCCCTCCTGCTCACCCATCCCTTGCAGGGCCCCATGGATCCTCTGGCCTTCCTATACGTCCACTGCCTTTTCGTTGCGTCTAAACCAACAAATCTACGCTGTATCATTTTCCCCTAAATCTTGCCCTACTTATTTCTGCTCCCGGTCCCCACAGCCTTCTGACATCTTTCTCCATGAAGTGGGTCAATGGGTAGAAACATACAGTTAGAAGAAATAAGTTCTAATGTTCAACAGCAGAGTAGGGTAACTATGGTCAGCAACAATGTATAGTATATTCAAAGTAGCAAGAAGCATAAAATGTTCCCAACACACAGAAACCACAAATACTCAAGGTGATGGAGACCCCAAATGCCCTGACCTTATGATTACACATTCTTTTTTTTTTTTGGACAGAGCTTCGCTCTGTTGCCCAGGCTGGAGTACAATGGCACAGTCTCGGCTCACTGCAACCTCTGCCTCCTGGGTTCAAGCGATTCTCCTGCCTCAGCCTTCCTTGTAGCTGGGACTACAGGCATGTGCCACCATGCCCAGCTAATTTCTGTATTTTTAGTAGAGATGGGGTTTCACCGTGTTGGCTAGGCTGCTCTCGAACTCCTGACCTCAGGTGATCCACCCACCTCAGCCTCCCAAAGTGCTGGGATTACAGGCGTGAGCCACTGCGCTCAGCCTGATCATCACACATTCTATGCATGCAACAAAGACTCGGATCTACCCCATAAATATGCAAAATATGCATCGATCTTAAAAATTGCATATCGATGCATATTAGAGGTTCAGTGTGAAGTCCTCCCAAAAGAGGTAAGACTAAAAATAGGTAAATAAAAGCTGTTTTCACATGTTTTGCTGCTTCTGAATTCAATCTGTCCTAGTATATTACTTTGGTGGAAATAAGCAGGAAGAATCTATACTCATACAGATATATAGCTAGAAAAGGAAGGAGTCGCTACTAACCTTTATAGATAATTATCAATTTTCTTTGAATCTACAGCAAAACTCCACAAGAAGTATCTAAGTTCTTAAAAGTTGCTATGTAAAATTTAAAAATTAGCCAGGTGTGGTGGTGTGCACCCGTAGTCCCAGCTACTTGGGAGGCTGCGGTGGGAGGGTTGTTTGAGTTCAGGAGGTCGAGGCTGCGGTGAGCCATGATGGTGCCACTGCACTCCAGCCTGGGCAACAAAGTAAGACCCTGCCTAAAAAAATAAAAATTTTAAAAAATTGCAAAGTGGGAGATAAAACCATTCTGACTAACTATCCTTACTAAGCTACAGTGTTTCCTTTCTACATCTGGCCCCCACCCCAAAGCAGCTGCCCTCCACACGCCCCTCCATGCACACTCTTCTACACGGAGAGCCCCTGCCACCTCCCTTCTCTCCAAGCCGCGTCCATGCCCCAAACTAAGAGAGAGCTCCTGTCTCTTCTCACAAACCCACAGTGACTCAATTACTGTCTTACAGCCCACGATAAAAAAGTTTGCCAGTGGTCTGAAGTCTAAGTGGCTTGTCCTGCTTCATTTCCACCTGATCCATGAGTGTTTCTTTCCCTCAGAGAGTTCAGATCGATGGGACAGGTGTGGCTGCACACCACAAAATTCAAATGCCTTCTGCCCAAGAGGTCGCTTCTGCTCACATTTCCCATGATTCTCTGCTTTGTCACGATTCTGTCCGCCTGCTCAGCTCTGCACTCTCTAGAGGCAGGCCTTGGGCTTCCCATGGCACCACGCTCACAGTGCTTCCTATGTGACAAAGGAATGCAGGCAGAGCCGCACTGTGCCTAGCACCAGGCCAGGCAGGAGCAATGCCCTGGCAGAGCTCACAGCCTCACAGGCCATTTGAGTCGGCCCTGGGGCTTTGACAAGCGAGCTTTGCTCCACATCCTTGCTGAGGACTGAAAAAGCCCTAGGGTGGCAGGATGTGCCCCATGGTGTCCACCTCTCCTCACAATCTGCCCACCAGGAGGTCTTTTCAACCCAATGCTCAGTCACCTCCATCCCAGTGAAGATTCCTCACTTAGGAAGCAGAGCAGGCAGCAGGTGGCAAGAGTGCAAGCCAGAACAGGAGCAGGGGACTCACCGGCCTGGCGCCCCCCCATGGCATGGAAGCGCAGAGACACGGGATGGGGGAGCGTCATTATTTCTTTCAAAATACTACATGTTCACAGAAGAGATGCACCATACCTGCTCATCCGTGCAAGCAAACATGTACTCCAAATACAAATCAAATGAGCTGGCATGACTTGCATTCGTGTCTCTCCCTCACATTAGGGACAGGAAGTGGGAGCTTCCAGAACAACGGATGAGCTGCAGTCACTCAATGGGTGACCGTGGGTATTTCTGGCTGTGTGACCATCTCCCATCTCGCAGGGGACATCCCAAGGTCACAGGAGATACTAGGGGCAGGGAACATCTTTTATTAAGTTTAAATCTCTGCACAGGCAGGATTCTGTTTGTTTCCACGGGGACTCTGTGATTAAGAGCGAGAGGATTAGGGAGGAGTTATGAGGAGAAACAGGATCCAATGGGAGATGAGCCAGATCTCAGCCCGAGAATGGCTCCTAGAAGCCTTAGAGTCACCTGGAGACATGGGATCGCACAAGGCTCTTGGGGAAAAGTAGGTACAAAACCATGCCAGTGCTCTGAGGAGCTGCCTCCAGATCTGGGCTGGAACGACAGTGTGGGGACTCCTGGGGCATCCGGGTCCTGGGAAGGCACCAGGAGGCGTGGACTCCCCAGCACTGCCAAGAACTCCCAGGAACTGGTCTGAAGCCTCAGGGATTCCTCTGAGTCCAAACCAGGATGAAGTTCACAGAAAAGGGGGATGAATTTGGCCAAAACTTCCAATAAGCCAGCATCCTTCACAAGCGCCTCTTAACAAGCCTCATCTGCTGGCCTCTGTCAGGCCCCATAGCAGCCTCCTTCTACCTCAGGGGACTCCAGGGCCAGCTGGTCAATCGCCTCCGAGTCATTCTGCAACTCCTCCAGCTCCTGCAGGGTCTTCTCCTTCAGCGTCTCCATCCTTCCCTGTGAACACAGCGATACCAAAGTAACAAACGGGCAGCCCAACAGGAAGGGACCCCCGAGCCTGTACATATGATTGATCAAAAACAAACCGGAGTTTTCCTGCGATAATACCACCCAACTGGGAGGCTCGAGGACGGGCAGAGATCTCTGAGAGCACGTTCCTGCGGCTCAGCCCACCCCCTCCCCAGGGAGACCAAGGAGCTGCCCCCTCCACCCTCTCCTGATAAACAGGATATGTGAAAGCACTTGCAGCCAGAAGCAAAACCACAATCCTCGGGTGCTAGATGGAGCTCCCCAAGGAGCAGAGGAAAAGGCAGGAGGAGAGGGCCAGGCAGCAGGGACGGAGACTAAGTCTGGCCCAAGGCTGCCTGCAAGCACTGATGCCATCATGTCCTCTGGTAGGTGTCTATTTCTGTCTGAACCAAAAATACACCAAGCTCCTCACATGGGGGCTTTGCTGGCTTCGACATCACCGGTTCAACTATGTCACTGCTTGTTACATTTAGTGCTCCAAAAACCTCAGGTTTCCCTCCAGAATTCCCCTCAACTGCAGCCCTCTCCATGTGTCACCAAAATGGACTGTCATATGCGCATCCTCATAGGAGCAGGAAAAAAAAAAAATCAGCCAGTTGGCCTTGCAGGCAATCAGGAAGGAAGGAAATTGACTGACCTAAAGAGGACATCTGCTTTGACGGACAGCTGGTGTCAGCGGCCCTCTCCGTCACTCTGCCTAGAGGGCTATCGATTGTCTGTGTGGTAGACGGTTCACAGCCAGGCCTAGGAGGGAACCCCAGGGACTGAAGACAGGAAGCACAAATACACCCAGCACCTGCTTCCTTTCTGCTGACAGGGTCCTCCATTTTCATCTGGTATCTTTTCCAGAGGTGCATTCCATAGCTTTTTTTTTTTTTAGACATGGTCTTGCTCTGTTGCCTAGGCTGGAGAGCAATGGCACAAACAGGGCTCACTGCAGCCTTGATTTCCTGGGCTCAGATGATCCTCCCACCTCAACCTCCTGATAGCTGGCACTATAGGCGTGCGTTACCACCTCCAGCTAACTTTTACATTTTTTGTAGAGACAGGGTCTCACTAGCTTGCCCAGGCTGGTCTCGAACTACTGGGCTCAAACGATTCTCCTGCCTTGGCCTCCCAAAGCTCTGGGATTACAGGTGTGCGCCACCATGTCCGGCTCCATAGCTTTCATGTTGGTTTTTCTCATTACAAAGGTTATGTTAGTTTTCAAAAGATTCCAGCACCACAGAAATCTAGGGTCCTCCACAGCCCACCTGCACCAAGACTCAGCTAGGGTGAGCCAAGGCTGACAACCCAGCTGAGAAGGCGTTCTAGAATCAAAGACCAAGGTTACAGCTGTGTGGTCAGATGCAACCTTCTCCAGGTCTCAGTTTCCCCATTCGCAGCAGGAAGGGAATGACATCTCCTAGGGCCATCAGAAAGATAAAAGGAGGACTGAGACACGACACATGTTCCCATGTACCAGGAAGTCCCAGTGCACTCCTCAGGGGACTCCCCACCCGCTCAAGGGTGCCCTGGTTTAAACAACAAATCATATGGCCACTGATAAAGAGCTACCCATACAGGGACATGACCAGTGTTTGCTATGTCCTGAGGGTTAAAAGTGGCCCCAACCTCTAAGCAGGGATTGCCAAACTTCAGTGTGCACCTGAATGCCGGGAAAGCTCACTGAGGATACAGGTGGCCGGCCCCTCCCACAGAGCTCTGCATCAGTAGGTCAGGGCAGGGTCCAGAAATCCGGAATTCCTCCTGGGGAGACTGACACAGTTGGTCCAGGGCCAGATTTTGGGAAGATAACAGCTCCATGCCAGTCATATCACAGTGGAGATCCCTGGTTTCTGAGCAAGGACAATGTCAGTTTTCCCTGTGCTGTTCTCCCCTAACAAGGAGAGGTAGCAGCAGCCAGCCATGTCATATGCAGACAGGGTATCAGAAAGGTTAGAGTCACAGCCAGCAAATGGCAGAGCCAAAATTCAAATCTGCATTCTGTCCACACATCACCTTACTGCTCCAAAACACTTGGTCTAAAAGCCCCAGAGCCAGGTCGGACATGGTGGCTCACACCTGTAATCTGAACACTTTGGGAGATCAAGGTGCAAGGCTCATTTGTGGCCACGAGTTCAAGACCAGCCTAGGCAATATAGCATCTGATTGTAAAAATTGTAAAATGAAATAAAATAATGAAAATAAGTAAAAGCTGGGCCAGGCGCAGTGGCTTATGCCTGTAATCCCAGCACTTTGGGAGGCCAAGGTAGGCAGATCGCCTAAGGTCAGGAGTTCGCGACCAGCCTGGCCAACATGGTGAAACCCTGTCTCTACTAAAAATACAAAATTAGCCTGGCATGGTGGCGCATGCCTAAATCCCAGTTACTCAGGAGGCTGAGGCAGGAGAATCACTTGAACCTGGGAGGCAGAGGTTACAGTGAGCGCAGATCATGCCACTGCACTCCAGCCTGGGCAACTGAGAGAGACTTGGTCTCAAAAAAAAAGAAGAAGAAAAAAGAAGTAAAAGCTGGCACTGGAGCAGTGGAAGAGCAGCCTGCAGCTGGCCTGGGCTGGAGCAGAACTCTGGGAGGAACACTGGCAGCACACTCCAAATCCAAACCCAAATGAACTGGCCACAAACAGGAGATACCGAAACACATCAGGGGCGCAGGCTCCAGCCGGCCAGAGACAGCTCGAGTCCAGGCCCTGCCCCTCGCACAGGTGGAACCTCCCTGAGCCTTGAGTTCTTCACCAGTAAAATGAGACTCACAGCAGCACCTCCCTCACAGGGCGGGTACGAGGTTCAGTGGAATAGCACAGGCAAAGTGCTGGCTCGGTGCCAGGCCTGGAACAGGACTTGCCGGGCCACAGCAGCTGCACCCACACCGGCTCCACCCCAGGGGAGGCCCGCCACCAAGCATCTGCTCACTCTGCAGTCAGGGCACAGCACCACAGGTGCAGCCAAGTGGAGGACGGAAGCTCTGTCACGGGCAGCTGGCCGACCACACACACACAGCACAGTCAGCACCACCATCTGTCCAGCAGGTTCAGGACTCAGTCTCATACTCGGAGGTCTCACGTGTGGGGAGGCCCCTAGAAGAGCTGAGATTCCCTGGGACAGGCACCAACTCCCCCGCCCAGCTGCTTACCATGGGAGGTGCCACCAGATGTTCGACAAGTATCACATTGAATAAGGTAACACAGCCTCCAACAACACAACACAAACTTTTTGGTCTCAGGAACCCTTTTCGCTCCCAATGTTATGGAGGACGCCAAAGAGTTTTGTTTATGTGGATTACAGCTATCGGTGTTTACCATGTTAGAAATTAAAAGTGGAAGAAAAGATTTTTGAAACCGGGTCTCGCTCTATCGCTCAGGCTAGAGTGCAATGGCGTGATCTCAGCTCACTTTGGCCTCACATCTCCCAGATTCAAGCAATCCTCCCACCTCAGCCTCCTGAGTAACTGGGACTAGCAGGCATGTGCCACCACACACCCAGCTAATTTATTTTTTTAATTTTTTGTAAAGATGGGGTCTCACTATTTGATCCAGGCTGGTCTCAAACTCCTGTACTGAAGTAATCCTCCTGCCTTGGCCTCCCAAAGTGCTGGGATAACAGGTGTGAGCCACCACACCCAGCCGAGAAATTTTTAAAACACAAGAATACACAAACGGCCGGGCACGGTGGCTCAAGCCTGTAATCCCAGCACTTTGGGAGGCCGAGGCGGGTGGATCACGAGGTCAGAAGATCGAGACCATCCTGGCTAACACGGTGAAACCCCGTCTCTACTAAAAATACAAAAAACTAGCCGGGCGAGGTGGCGGGCGCCTATAGTCCCAGCTACTTGGAGGCTGAGGCGGGAGAATGGCGTAAACCCGGGAGGTGGAGCTTGCAGTGAGCAGCGATCGCGCCACTGCACTCCGGCCTGGGCGACACAGCGAGACTCCGTCTCAAAAAAAAAAAAAAAAAAAAAAAATACACAAACAACACCTGCCATTAGCTTCCTGAATGACGACATGATCATGGGCCACGCAGCCTCTGAAAACTGCACTGTATACTCATGCAAGAAAAGAGGGTGATGAGAGAAAGTCATGTCTCAGAATGATGACGAAAACCACTGTAACCTCACGGATGGCCTGAAAGGGTTTTTGGAAACCTCCAGGAGTCCCCCTGAAACACACTTTGAGAGCCACTGCTCTAGAGGTTAACAGATGAGACTCTGGAGCCGAACTGCCTCAGTATGAACCCAGGTCTGCCACTTACTAGCTGTGCCATCGAACCCGTTTGTGCCTCAGTTTCTCAATCTGTAAAACAGAGCAGTGTGAGGAACATGATAAGCACCACTAAGCATTTGCTGCTATGAGGACACCGGCAACCGTCTTACACAGTGGGCGTCAATATCACCCCAACCTCACAGGGGAGGCTGACAGAGGTGACGTTACTTGCCCAAGGTCATGCAGTTTGGAATGGCAATGTCTTTACTGGTCCAGGAATTCTCAACATGTGCCTCTTTTTAGAGTCCTTGAGTCCTAAGTCCTCCTCCAGACCTAGAACTGCAGAATCTCCAGTATTCTTTTTTTTTTTTTTTTTTAACGGAGTCTTGTTCTGTCACCCAGGCTGGAGTGCAGTGGTGCAATCTCAGCTCACTGCAACCTCTACCTCCCAGGTTCAAGCGATTCTCCTGCCTTAGCCTCTTGAGTAGCTGGAATTACAGATGCCTGACACCAGCCTGGCTAATTTTTGTATTTTTAGTAGTGATAGGGGTTTCACCATGTTGGCCAGGCTGGTCTTGAACTCCTGACCTCAAGTGATCCACCTGCCTCAGTCTCCCAAAGTGCTGGGATTATACGTGTGAGCCACTGCGCCCAGCCAATTCTTAATTTTTTTTTTTGAGACGGAATTTCACTCGTGTTGCCCAGGCTGGAGTGCAACGGTGCAATCTTGGCTCACTGCAACCTCCACTTCCCGGGTTCAAGTGATT